TTAGCGGAAAATTACAAAATCTATTTCTTTGCAAGGTGTTGTTTCATAGAAACAACAGTACAAGATTTTTCAGATTATGTTTTCCAAGTTCTTCATCACATTTCAGGTTAGTATGTAGTTCACTTACCAGTTTTCTGCCCGACGCCGATGAATTTGGAGAGTGCTTCGCAAAATCTGAGTCTGATTGGTGGATGGTTTTGAAAAAGGTATTTTCATGTTTTATCATTGACGCAGTTCAGTCATAATCGCTTTTTATGTTTTCAGAATGTGAGTAGGTTAAAAAACTTTCAAACTCTGTTCAACGTTCTAGGTGAATTCGCGTTTGCTCTGTCTCCTTCTGCCACCTTCATCGAATCAACAGTCGCTCTCCGATATTCAGTCGCGAACTCTTGGGATAATCAAAACTCATTTTGAAGCAATCTTTCTTAACTGAACTGGTTTTCCTTTCCAGCCTGAAGCAATCTTTCTTAACTGAACTGGTTTTCCTTTCCAGCCTTTAAATTATGATATACGGGTATTTTTGTGATGTCCTCTTCTGCCAGTGTCACGTATCTCGTCTGACTGGTTTGCCGTATGGTTATGTGCACAAATTTCTACTCCCTGCAATTCTAGCTGATATTTTATCTTGAAAGGTGTTATATCCGTCCTATTTATGCCATTTTTACTGTAATCGTTCATGGAGTTTTTTTCGGCGAGAAGTATCAGGTAGTCTAACGAGCGAAAAGCACGTTATTCTGGCAACCATGACTTCAATTCATTCCTGTTCTAGGAAGTAGCCCCTTGTTGGGTATCCTACTTTTCATAGGATTTAGAAAAAACATGCACTTCTGCGCACATAAGTCTATGTTGTGTTACACCGCCATTTGCTTCTGGTTTCATGTGATTATTACTGGTGTCGCATATTGTTGTAATTTTGGAAAGTTTACATGAAATTTTATTTATCGGTTCGCTCCTGCACGGCAATGGGGCCGAGGGAAATTCGAGCTCCTTAGTTCTCTCATTTTCACTAAAGCTGTTTTTTCTTTTGTCTGTGCGTTTGTGTGTGTCGGTGTGTGGGTGGCGTATGTCGGTGTGGGTAACGATGAGTGTGCATCGGTGTGTAAATGTATTGGTGTGTATCTGTGTATGTATGTTATGTTATGTTTATTACGCTGCCAAGGCAAACGTAGTATAAAATGATAATAACCTTCTGGAACTAACTTAAATGATGGAGCAAATACAAGGAACACACATAGATATAACGTACTCGTATAAAGAGAACGACATAAAATAAGGCAAATAACTCCTAGGTTAGATATAAAACAAAAATGAAGACGAAGAATTGGTCAATCGCAAGGAACTATGAAAGCTCATACTTAGATAAAATTACTTCCACAGAGCATCAAGGATTCCGGAGCGATCATGTTTTTTATTACCTTTTTGTAAAGGCTAGCCGCTCTGAATGTGAAACTTCTGGCTCTTATACTGGTTTTGGGCCTAGGGAGATTTATTTTGGTCTGACCTCCTCTGGTTCTGGAGTGAACCATATTATAAAAATCAAAAGAACCAAATTTATTACTATGGTACTATAGCTTGTAAACCATACATACGTCGAATACTTTGCACCGTGATTCCAAAGTAGAGAGTTCAAAGTATTTGTTGCGAATAGAAGCTTTAGGAATTCTGGAGTAGAAAAAACTCCTACATCGGCAAAGAATTTTGGGCGTAAAATTGTTTTGCACCTTCTCAAGTGCTTCAACATCCCTTTTCCTAGATGGGTTGAACGCAGCAGCACCACTCTCAACCAAGGGCCGAGCGTATGTTTTATAAGCTTTGAGAAATATGGACTTATTGGTGGAAGACAA